TTATCTAGTGTTCTTTTTCTTACTTTCAGCAGTTGCTATCAGAAATTTTCATTAGTTGCTCAGATACTTTTCAAACAATTGAAATACTAGCCAGCAGTTATCTAAATTCAGTCAATTTCACATAGGCAATCAACTAGAGACTTTTTTTTTTTTTTTTTCCAGAACCGGGGATTGAACTCGTACCCTTGCACTTGCCAGGCAAGTGCTTATTCTACTGTGCCATCTCCCCGACCCCTAGAGACTATTTTTAACGAATGAACTTGTTGACTGAGATTAAAAGGAGCTATAGAGTGGATTCACTCAACACCTTCCTGTACAAATTTAAGAAAAGCTCAGAGACAAACTACCTGATCAACCTGGAAGTACCAACTAGCAAAACTTTCAATTGGCTACAGGAGCCCCAGAGCGCTTTTCATGATGATGAGCTCATGTTGCACATTTTCAAGGAGAAAACTGATGCTAAGAGAAAAGTCACTGTGAACACTACCCCAATTGAATGTCATTAGGATCACAGAATCCTACAACTAAGAACACTAATTACAAAATAAGGAATGAAATGCCCACAGTAAATTTTACTATCCTGACCCCACCATTCATTGTGTGATACTGGGTAAATTATTTAACTAAAGTCGGTTTCCTAATGTTTAAAATAACGTACTAATAATTGCTTTAAAGCCTTGTTATGAACATCTCTTTGTGTATTCTTGTAAAAATCCATAAGCTCAGTCTAATAATGACAAATCCTTGGAAAAAAATTTAGAGACATTTCACAACATAACTGACCAGTATTTCTCACAAATACCAAGGTCATAAAAAATCTATAACACCCTGAGAGGGTGTTACAGGTTTGGAATCCATGGCACACAAATGTCACGTGTGATCTTGGTCTGTATCCTTAACCAGAAAAATGACTAGTAGAAAAACTGGTGAAATTTTAATTAGGCCTTTAACTAAATTAATAGTACTGTACTAATATTAACTTTGTGTTTTTGATAGTTGTATTATGAGTATTAAAGACAAAGTTTGGTGAGGAAGATACAATAATTCTCTGCATGAATGCTGCAAATTTGAAAATCAGAATGTTATTTTAAAAATCATAAAAAGTCTTATAGTGAGAACTAAATACATAATACAGTATCTATTTTTTGGTAAATACTATTCTCTCAAATAGTGGATACATTTAATGATTGCTAACAGCAGAAATAGCACACTAATATTGTCCAAACCTAAGTTAAAGATGGCTAATAATGAACCAAGCTGAAGAACTGCATTAAATTGTGGACATTTTACACTTAAACTTAATGACGATAAATAATCTTGCAGACATTAACTAACCATCAACATTTTACTTTCTGCATGAAACAATCATGAATTAGTGCTTAAAGAAGTACAGATTCTGTGTTTGGCCAATGATGACAGGCTTAAATTTACCTAATACCATCAGCATTTAAACATAACATGTCAGAATTTCAGTGCTGACTCTGTGACTACTCTCCTGTTAGATTTCAACAGTTTGCTGTCAAGCCACACCTGGCAAAATAAACCTTTTTCATATAAATTGTTGACATCTTACAATTGGTATCATGTGATACAGTGTTATTACACACATACACAGACACTCACACGCCCACACATATTTTCAGGTCTCTGGTCTCTTATAATTTTACACCAAGTATAAAGTTAGTTTCTCACATGCTAAGTAAGTGAGCTACACCCCCAGCCTCATTCTTCCTACTTCGAACATGAGTTTACATCTAGCCTTGAACAAAAGCCTATTTGGGATAAAGTTTACTAATGCTAAGTTTTTCACCCATGATACAGTTTCTAAAACTTTTCCCAAACACTAAAACAACTTAGAAACCTCAATACTCATTAATTACAGTCCTTACAAACCACTCGTAAGGCTTATTTATGTATGCTTCCCACTTCAGGGGATAAGTGCACAGCCAAAACCAACAAGAAACTTAGCTACTTCTTGATTTTTGATAAAACCATCCATGTGCTCATACATTTATTTCTATTATACTTTGGCAAAATATTCCTTTGTTTTCTACAAAGGCTATGAGATATCATAAAAATGTCTAATGCATCTGGTTTAAGAATCCAATTCTTCCTTCACATATTTCTGCATCTGCTCACAAAATCCTTTTGACTTCAAAGGCAGCTTTTCAAGAGAAAAAGAAGATACACACAGGAAAAATGCCCATAAATTTTTAGTAGTCCTTTTCTAAGGCCATTTTAATAACAGCACTGTAAGACAAGTATTTCTCTCAGAAACCTAAAATACATGAAAATTATTAATAACTACAGATTTGTATGAAGATTTATGTTTTCAAATTTTGGGGGGTTGTAAAAGTGATACATCTTCAATTTAAAACACGTGAAATATAATACTTAAAAGAAAATGCAAAAATTTTTAAATCCACTCTTTAGGAAGACCAAAACAACAAAAAAGAATTGTTGCTTCCTTCTAGTCTTTTTTTCTATAATAATAATATTTATATGTAAACATAATATTGTAACCACACCATAAATACAATTTTTTCTCTGTCTTTCAAAGGACTGCATTAGTCTTTCAAAACATCACTTTTTATGACTGAAAGTATATGTAGTTTTGCAAATCATGAAAAAATAACTTCACATTTTATTTTTTTATGTATATAATCAATATTTATTAATCATCATAGTCTTTTAAACTTCCAGATTATTATTCTGCTTACAATGAACACAATCCAATAGTTTTCCTGACTCTACAGCCTTGTTGGCTTATTCTGACCCTTCATGCTTTAGTTATGGTTGTTTTAGACTTAATAACATGTTTTTCTTTCTTTCTTTTTTCTTTTTTGGCCTTTTTGAGACAAGTTCTCACTGTGTAGTTAGGCTGACATTGAACTCACTTTGTAGCCCAGATCAGCCTCAATCTCACAGCAATCCTTCTGCCTCGGCCTCCCAAGTACTGTGATTACAGGCATGCACCACCACACCCAGCCTAACACATGTCTTTTATGGCTCTTAACCAGAGTTGTAGTTTTTTTTTTTTTTTTTTCTTACACTGGATCTTATTTTTATTTTTTATTTATTTTTATTTTTTCCCATAATTTTATTGATACACAAATAGCAATGAGACAGTTTCAAATCAAATTGGTAGGACAGTTTCAATAATTAACACATTACATACATTCTTCCTAGTGGTTAATTGCTGTACAAGATG